AGACGCTCTGAATAGAAAGCTGGCAGGTGTGTATCTAAATTTGAAGGTGCCACTCGTGGCTTTACGGGCGCCGGCCCCACAGTTGTCTTTGCAGGAATGTTAACCCATTGAATCGGCCTCTTCTGAAAAACCAGTCGACGGAGACCGACGCCAATCAACTGAAGACATCTCCTGAGAGCAGTTCATCGGAAGCGAACCCTGCGCTGGATTTATTTTGAAAAGTATGGCCCCGTTTAGTAAAGGTTTCCTGAGATGTCTATCCGCCACAGGGAAGATCTGTTTTATGAGCGTGGGAGAAGTGAGCACACCAAATGCCTAATGTTCGATTTTCAACTTAAGAAAAGGACGTTCTCCAGAATCTCCATTCCACTTCATGGGATGTGTTATTGCTCAACAACTCCTCTTGCGGAGACGAGTGGTCAGTACTACATACCCGGAAGGTATGCGTTCAACCGGGGCCTACGTGAATGATTTTACACAGGAGACTAGGTACTTTCCGCCGAGGTGTACTTCGCTGTTAATTCGTGCACCTCAGGGATGTTACAGTCGTTATTTTCTGTGACTAGTTGTCAAAAGTTGTCCTCGCACGTACAGCAGATGTGCTTAATCATAAAAACTTAAACAAAATTCTGAAATGCGTTTTCGATCCATATATTGTAATATTTATGTTCCGGCAGCATAGTCTCATAATAATTCAGTTCCGTCAGGATGTCCGTTTCCGAACGAATTTCATTTCGGCTGCCTTCAAAGAGTACACTCGGTAAAATGACTACTTATGTAGCATTTTTGTCATTTATTTTCGATGTCCTAATAAATCCAAATAAATTTCATGGAAAACAGGCATAAAACTACTCATTCTTTCACTAATTTTGATAGAAAATTATGTCTTCTTCAAATTTCATTCTCAAAGACGGGTAAAATTGGGTTTTAAAACCTTTTCCAATTCCCGTATAATTTAGAGACCAACATGGATTACACTTGCATTCACATCTGTAACTGATCGCATAATTAATAATGTCGTCGAGGTAGACGTTTTTCGTCAGAGACGTTTCGCCCCTATCCACCCGCAGAAACCATGTCTTTTGTAGATCTGATGCATCCAAGAGGGTTTGTGTCCCCACAGTTTCCATCTTCACTGTCTTCAGATGGTCTTAATATTTTGCTCGGCTTCAGTCAAATATTTCCATCGTCGACTAGTTGGCTGTTGCTCGTGAATGCCTTCTCTTTCAAGTTTCGCTAAATTTACATTAACGTAGCTCAGTCTCACGTCTTTCTAGTCGTGTTATCAGCCAAAACAACACTGTCTACATGCTTTTCATCCTGCTGGGCTTGCTGAATGGCAAAGGTACACTATAGGCAAGCCACATCTAGATAGCATCAGGGCCACCAAGGAAATAGCGATGAGTAATTAATTAACCAGATCAAGCACTGAGATCTTTAGACTTCTTCTCCGGCCGCTCCTGCGAACTGATAATGCGCACAGACGCCTTAGCATGCATAACACCTTCCCCTCCCCGCCGACGCGATTTTATTGCACTGGGTCATTGCGCGAGCGGTGTGTGAGCCACAGATACCCATCGTTCGAGCTTTGTGCGGTAAATTTCGCCTATTTGGCAACTTCGATGGGAGGCCGGTGTGGTCGCGAATTAGGACGCCTGCCGGTACTGGATGAGATATCTCAGCGCTCTACGTAAGCACTTGAACTTTTTACGTCCTGTTGTAGTGATGATGGGGTTGTTGAGCGGCGAAGAATGCGTTTTCTCTTGAGAACCCTTGCAGTAAAAGAGAGTGGGGGGCGACGACCGTGTCGAATTGGCATAAAATGGCCGCTGTGGGGGAAGACCCGTTACTTCTCATTCTCGGTCACCGGCACAGCCCGCAGGGAAATAACTCCTGAGATAACAGCTGAGAGGAAGGAAGCGTTGGAACCAGAGCGTGAATCGAGCACCGCTCAAAAAACTAGGCTTAAGGACGTAGAACATTCTCCTTTTGTCAGTCCTTACAAACATCATCGCAGCCAATCGTAATGGATATGTTGAGGGACGGATTTTCCACCACCACCACCACCACCACCACCACCACCACCACCACC